TGTGTGCTGATGTGGAGGTGGTTCATGGCGTTCGAGATGCGTCAGGGAAACACCAAACAGGCCAAGGCTGTGTTCTACAGGGCACTGCAGAACTGTCCGTGGGCAAAGGTACGTTACAAGTAAATTGTACAGTCAAACCTGTCCAAGAAGGCCACCCGGGGGATTGGGGTAACATGGTCTTCTTGGACAGGTGGCCTTCTTGGTCACTTTCTGCCTGTGCTTATGGAAAAAACATTTCGGACAGGGGAAAAGTGGTTGTTATGGATATGGAATCTTTATGGAATCTTTATGGCCCTCTTGCGCATGTTTGGCTGTACATGCACTTCTAAGGCCACACCAATTTAATTTCTTGGTTAACGGATTTTTCTAGAAAAATAATGGAGCGGGCGGGCGAAAAAAATAAAAAAATAAAAACAGGCATAGGCATCCTATTATGGCCCAAAATGGTACGATAGGAGTCATGAAGTCAACACAGCAGGCTGGTTCAAAATTTAAACAATGAATTTTGAACTTTTAATGGTAGCACTGAATTGAAAGATGGAATAACTGTAATAACTAGGAAGAAAAGGACTGTTTTCAACTGTTCAGGGCAAAATATGAGCATTTTGCAGTTGATTCTAAATTTTTATTTTTATTTGCAAATCAGAAAAAAACGAAGCGGCAAATCCGTTAACCAAGAAATTAAATTGGTGTGGCCTAAGTGACGTTTTAAACCATCTGTACCAGATCACCCCATACTTGCCCAGACTGGCGCGGAGAGTTTGCTCTGTCTCTGTGGGAGTGTTAACTGGTAGTATTTCAGTGATCTTCAGTAATGCATGTTGTCTACAAGGAGTCGTACTGATTTAGCAGCCAACGGCTAACTTTCCACAATGCCCCCCCCCAGGTGCTGTACATGGATGCCGTGCAGTGGTTCCCGGGCGACCTTCAGGATGTCCTTGACATCATGGTGGAGAAGGAGATCCGAGTGAGGGCCCCGCTGGAGGAGGTGGAGCTACTGATGGAGGAACAGGTGCCAATCACAGAGGGAGAGGGGCCAGATGGATAAGCATTTACCTTTGGCAATCAGAGACATAGTGGTTTGTTCTGTTCTGTTTCGCTCAACATGTAAACCACCTTTAGGCCACACCAATTCAATTTCTTGGTTAACAGATTTTTCTAGAAAAATAATGGAGCGGATGGGCGAAAAAAAGATGAAAATAAAAACAGGCCTCAGCACCCCTTCACCTATTCTAAAGGCAGTTTGCAATGATCAGTGCAGTACTAAATAAGTACAGGTAACAGAAAAGACGTATGT